AACAGCAGGCTCCAAACTGTTTTACCTTCTCCAGGTTTCATTCCACAGTTAAAAATGTTGCTATCCCACCCTTGCTCTTTCACCTCTCAGGCCACTCATTTTTTAGCATGTTCAATGGTGGTGTAAAATAGAGATTTATCTTCAAAGTGGCCGAAAACCTCTTCAATGAAGACATGCAAAAGAGATTCAAATTGCATTTGTCGATAGAAAATGTAAAAAAAGATGTAAATTTTTATTTTATTTTTTTTACATTCACAAAAGGCAAAAGATGATTTTTGATCTTTCCACTAGGGCAGAGTTTGGATTTAGATTCATCGAAATGTAAATAAGGATGCAAAAGTTATTTTGAGTGCACCAATTTATACTAATTTTACATCACCATTGAAAATGCGCTTAATGATAACTTGGTTGTATCAAAAAATCTATTGGTTGCTTATATCAACAAATCCATAGAGAACATTAACAAAGAAATTTGTAAGGTTTTCAATAATATCATTTTATTGCCATATTTAACAGAAAAATTTGTAATTAATTCATGTGGATAAATACCAACTCCACCACTATTAATATGTACTCGGTATCCCTTCAATTAACAAGAAAATTACTAGAACGACAAATAGAAAATTTATAATTGTTAAGCTCAAAAAATGATGCTAATCAATATCTCTAATGCATGTTTAGTAAATAGTGCTGAAAATCGACTGAATAATATAATAATTTTATTTATTTTCCTTTTTTGTACTATCTAATGTTATTCAATCCTCTTATCAAGTACATGCAGAGATTGCAGCTAACCGAACTCTACTGAGCTCCTCAGCTATGGGCTATGGCTGAAATATTGGTCAAGATTTATCCTTTTTTTTTTCTTTTTCCTTATGGGTCGTATAACTTTTTATTATTTTCAATCACACGTTCGCAAAAAATAGTTTTTCCTCTCAAAAAATTTCTTCCAAACAACTCTTAACAGATTGAGGTCAAGAGGTCATGACAGATTCAAAGCTTTTTTATTTTTTTTAGCAAAAACACAACGTGATAAATTTCGGCGGACATGATTTTTCAGTTTGTGGTGTGTCAAGTGGGAGAAATTTCATCACCAATAATTTCTGTTTTTCCAAATTTGGGGCAACAATTCCAAAAAGATAATGGCAAGCAGGTGGGCTTTTAAAGCCAATGGACCCTCAATTATCAAACTTCAATTATATAAACCACACAAAAGTTTTCTACGTGGACGAGTGGCAATTTTCAATCACATCAAATTCTTAACTTTTTCAAGTTTTAACTGAGTAAATAAGACACGAAATATTTCATTTAACTTTAAGAATAAAGCCACTTGTTCATGGTAAAAAATGAGGGAGTAAAAAGACAGATTGATGTTTTAAAAAATAATTTGATATTGTTATTTTAATTTTTTAAACAATTCAATCATAAATCGATATGTGTTCCATCTAGATTTGAATCTGAATATGCAGTAAAATTCAATAATAATATTGCTACACCTTCAGGCTTTGAAGAGCCAGTTGTCAATAATAATTCCTGCCAATGTTTAGAAGAAATAAATAATGTTAGGTAAATAATGTGGGCACAAATCTATCGTACCAGTCCTGTTGCATTCTGATGGGACTACTTTTCCGTGAAATGTCTTCTTCTTTTAGAAACAATATCCATTCGCAATCCCGGCTGAAACTTTTCTCTCGTATACATCCTATCCACTTTATGGCCCAACTTTCAGCCTGGAATTTTAATGATTTAAGTTTGTAGAGAAGCATTTGATTGAAATCTAGGTTTATTTCTTCCTCAGAAAACCATTATAATCTGAAAATTTAAGCTCAAGAGGAGGAAAAATGTCAGATTTCTTGCCTGAAGGAATCATCATCAACATCCTCAAAAGACTGCCCGTCAAGCCCATTATTTGCTGCATGTGCGTTTCAAAATCATGGTATACTCTAATCACCAGTCCAGAATTTGTTTCAACTCATCTAAATTTCAACATTGCTGGCAGTGAAGTTCTCCCTCTCCTTTTACTTAGGCGTTGCATTAGAAAAATTGAGCGTTACGAGTTGTACTACGATAAAGAATCTTTTGATCGATATTTAAGGCTTCAATTTCCCTTTAGAAGCATAAACTCATTTTTCACAATCATTGGTACCTGCAATGGGTTGTTATGCCTTTCTGATGATCGGGTATTTTATATGAACACTATAATTATTTGGAACCCTTTTGTTAAAAAGTCGGTTCTTCTACCGAAACCCAATATGGTATATAATTCATACGGTAGTTTTATGCAATCGCTTGGATTCGGGTTCGATCCTGCTAGCTATGACTATAAAGTGGTTAGAATTACATACACTGATTTGGATAGATGCCTGCCTCAGATTGAGCTTTATAAGTTGAGCACAGGGATTTGGCAAGATATTAGTCATTTGTCGCTTCAGTACGTTATATATCATAGGTCGCGCCAAGCTTACATATATGGTGCTTCACATTGGATTGCTCGTGACTTGTATGGAAATGATTTGATTTTGTTTTTCGATATGTGCAATGAGGTGTTCCAGGAGATGATATTACCTGTTCATCTGGCAAAAGATGATTCTTCGAGTACCAAGGAATTAATTATCCATAAGGACTCACTTGCTCTTGTTTTATGTGATGTACCCGGCGTCGAACATGGTTTCTGTGTATGGGTGATGGAGGAATATGGAGTCATGGAGTCTTGGACAAAAAAATTCAATGTTAATTTTCAGGATTTTGGAGGAAGATTTATGAAGCCATTGTGGGTTAGAAAAGATGGGGAAGTGTTAGTAATTACAAAGGATGGGTCTTTGGTTTCTTGTGATTCCAATGGAGAACAAGTTATTGATCTTGGAGTCCATGGCTCAAGATCTGAGGAATATCTACGCTCTATTCACGTCGATGGCTACATCAAAAGTGTGGTTCTTCTAGAGAAAGGGCCTGATTTCAGTGATGCAGTCACTTCTAGCAAATTGCCATCTTTGCAGACTGATGATTGTGGTTCTGATGATGACGCTGAAAGAAATTAGAGGCATAGCCATGAAGTTCATACATGCAAGAACAACAAATGTAAGTCAAATCATTGCGGAGGGTAAGACAATCATTTTTTCGCATCATTGGGTATGCTGTCCTTGTATTGCTAATGCTTGCTGTAGCAAATCTTTTGTTATCTCTAAAGCTATCTACTATATCTTATATTGGAATTATTTATTTATTTATTTATTTTTTTCAGTGTTTCTTGTGCTAAGCTAGTCAATTTCATTCTAACCAACTACCCACCGATAATAGGTGTGGATAAGTTCACCGTAGTTTTTCCGTAAAATTGTAAGAAAATGTTGGATGTCATTGGGAGTATTTTGGAGCCCTAACTTGTTTAGGAAGTTGTGTTTACAATGACTATAGCTAAACTCTAATGTTTGGTACTCTGATTGCCAGGCAATTGCTTCAAACAATGTTTTCATATCTCTATTGAGAAGAATTTAATTATCAAGAACATATAAGAGAGGGACAAGCGATTTTAACCTATTTCCTGACTCTTATAAATAAAAAACAAGGGCTACACATTAAAAAAACTTTTCATGTCTCATCATACGCAATAGTTTTATCAAATGCATCAAGAATAAAGGGACAATACTATATTTTGAGGGAGGAGATCAAGCCCTAGCAAGGAGTTCAAGCTCAAATACAACAAGAAATTGAACAATTCAACTTTGAACTTGAATATCAACATCTTTTGAATTATTTCATGATCCAGGTGATATTTTTCTATTATTCGTCTTGTAATTTCTATATTAATATGCTAGGCTAGATCCGCTTTTGTATTAGATGAAGATGAATCCTATTTGTGATTTATTTCTTATTCAAGATTAGTAATTTAGTATTTTTTGTATTATTTAATTGATTAACCACCAACTTGATAATTAGTTGTTTATTGTAGTGTTGGGAGACTCACAATAAGTTCAAAATGCAGCAAAATTAACATATATGCAATAGATTTTAGGAATAACATTTATCACTTACGCAATTATATAGATAATCTAAACTTTAATGCATTGTAATAATTGGAATTTCGTACATAACTGGTAAACTTAAATTGAAATTTATTCGTTGTGAAACGATAGCTCTTAACTCATTAAAATCTATTACTTGTCAACGATCTTGTACACTTGCAAGTATTACACGAATAAGTTTTTGGCGCCGTTGTGGTGGAATAAAGTATTTAATTTGAGTTTATTATTTTATATAGGATTTGAATTTATTTATTTATTATTTTACTTGATAATTTTGGCTACGCTCCCCGATCTCTCTTGTAATTGGTATGCTTTGAGATACTATTCAACCATATATGTAGGACTCTGATGATGGCAATAGAGTAAAATTCTTTGCAACAAGTAATCTCAATATGGATGATGAGTATATATTTGTAGAAGACATAATCTGTGAGCTTTGTAATGGGATGCATTATATTGGGCAATGCTTGTATACATGCACTAATCCCTTTATGTCCAAACTTTTGAGGTTTAAACAATATTTAAGATGTCGAAAACAAGCAATTGACAAGCTTGATGAATGCTACATGCCTAGGGGCGAATATATGTCTACATACCTAGACAATGACATCATTCTTAAAGAAGTTGGTCCTCCGCTATTGAACTAGGAGGCATTTGGAAAATATTATAATGAACTTGCTATGTTGGACGAAAGCAAAATATGTACAGAAAATTCTGTATTCTTGGACGAATTCAAAAGGTGGGTATATAGTCCTCCTGAAATGGTTGAAAGAAAAGAATTACCATTGTCGGTGAATTTAGACTATAAATTGACCATTCAACACATTCAAATCTATTACTTGTCAACGATCTCGTACATTTGCGGGTATTACACGAATGAGTTTTTGGCGTCCTTATCGTGGAATAAAGTATTTAATTTGAGTTTATTATTTTATATAGGATTTGAATTTATTTATTTATTATTTTATTTGATAATTTTGATGTAGGACTCTGATGATGGCAATGGAGTAAAATTTTTGGCAACAATTAATCTTGATATAGATGATGAGTATATGCTTGTAGAAGACATAATCTGTGAGCTTTGTAATAAGATGCATTATATTGGGCAATGTTTGTGTACATGCACTAATTCCTTTATGTCCAAACTTTTGCGGTTTAAACAATATTTAAGATGTCGAAAATAGGCAATTGACAAACCTGATGAATTCTACATGCCTAAGGACAATATATGTCTACACATTTAGACAATGACAACATTCTTAAGGAAGTTGGTCCTCCCCTATTGAACTTGGAGTCACTTGGAAATATTATAATGAACTTGCTATGTTGGATGATAGCAAAATATGTAAAGGAAATTCTGTATTCTAGACGAATTCAAAAGGTGGGGATATAGTCCACTTGAAATGGTTGAAAGGAAAGAATTACTATTGTTGGTGAATTTAGACTGTAAACCGACCATTCAACTCGATGAGATTTCAATTATTGAAGAAAAGCATAAAGAAGATGACAAACTATCTACAAAGGAACCAATTGAAGAAGTGGCAATCAATGATGATGAAATTAACACACATTCTTTCAACATCATCAATTTCCAACAATTGAATTTGTGATTAAGCTCGAAGAGGAAGAAGTCTACATGGTTGATTTCGGATTGGATGGAATAGGCAAGTCTTATTGCATTAAAGGAGGCAAGGTCTAGCTTTGGAGAATCAACGAAAAGATAATCAAAGTTAAAAGACACAAACTAAGCAAGTTATCAAAAGCTTTCTTTAGAATTCCATGATGCAGAGCGTCATCGTCAAGCAAATGGCTATAAATAAACGCTTATTGGAAGGTAATCCAATTTTCTATCTTTAATTTATTTTGGTTTTTAGATATATGATTAATAATTTTTGTGGCTTTTAATAGTATATGATATTTTCATCTCCTCATTTCCCTTAGGATGTGTATGAACTTATTATAAAGTATTCCATGTTATAATTGATTTTCTATATATTTTGAACGAACATGACACTTGAACATTCTGGACAAGGGAAAAGACATAGCAAGTTAGCCAGAGTTTTCATGACAGTCCATCCACCACATGCAAATTTATACTAGGGGAGTATTTAGTTCCCTTCTTTGCTCTTAATTTTCAAATAGTGCTTGTTATATTTTTAGACATTGAGGGCAATGTCTATGATAAGTTTAGGGGTGGAAAAATATTGAGTTTTTATTGGTTTGTGTGCTTGTTCGAATGTGTGTGTGTATATATATATCTGAAAACTTGAAAAAAATAATAATTTATCTTCAGTTTATTATTATTATTATTATTATTATTATTATTATTATTATTATTATTATTATTATTATTATTATTATTATTATTATTTATTTGCTTGTGTAGATTAGATAAATTTTGCCTACTATGATGAATATATTTGGAATCATGTGTTAGGCTATAAATTGTGAAAAACTTGCATGTTAGGGTTGATTTATGCTTATTCATGTGAAACTTGATATTTTTTAGCACAATATTTATGTTTTACATCATGAAAGAATAATATGATTCAATAGTTAAATAGGTTGAAAAAAAATACATATATAGTGGATCTTAGATGCTAAATTCAAACAACTACTATATTATACACTCTTAAGCCAAATTTAAAATAGTTTTGAAGTGATTGAACTGTTGTAGTGAGACACTGAAATAAACGTGGATTCCATCTGTGCTGAATTTTGTGTGGATTGTCTAAAGCTAATAAGATGAAAATTATGTAAAAATTCTAAGTTAGGGGTCGATTTTTGAAAATGAGTGAGTTAGGGGTCGATTTTTGAAAATGAGTGTTTGATAAAGAACATTGCACTAATCAGTGTATAAAAAAGTAAAAGAAAAAGTGTCCCATTGTGAAATGTTTCTTCGTAGCCTTTATAACTTGAGTGAATAAGCCTGTAAGAGTAAATTTGGCGCCCTAAAATCGTCTGACTTGGAAGTCATAAGCCAAAAGCTTGCCATATGGGTCATTTAAAAAGTTTAATGGAGATAAATTCGCACACAAGTTTTGAAAATATAACTATATAAAAAAGAAGAAAAAATGATAGTTACATGTCTTGATTAAGTCCCAAACACTTATTTGAGAATTAGACTTTTATCAAGAAATTATTAGCCTAATTGATTCTCGGGGGTTGAAGCAATAAAAAAATAACAAAAATCATCATTTATTGATATGTCGAACTACAATTAGTAAAATCTAATCAAACTAGATAGTTTGAGGACTAATATATAAATTTAACTTTAGATCACACATTGGAAAGAGAGTTAAATAAATAAGTTTGGGGGTGTGAATTTCACGAGATGAGAAATGATAAATTTGATATTGAGGGTCAAGATTTGAATCACATTATGAATTTTCACACACGCGCGTCAATTTTGCATGGGATAAATAGAAATTAATCTTAGCAATGTGAATTTGAAGTAGCTCATAGACTTAATACATATATTCCAATCTTGAGACCGAAATCAAATTATCTAACCAATTTTTAAATTTTTTTGTTTTGTTTAAGTTAGGTTATAAATTTGTTTGAGAATAAACAAATGTTCAAGTTTGAGGGCGTTTATTAAGTGTATTTTGTATACTTATCCANAAGTTAGGTTATAAATTTGTTTGAGAATAAACAAATGTTCAAGTTTGAGGGCGTTTATTAAGTGTATTTTGTATACTTATCCAGGCCAGTAAATTAAAGTATTTATTAGTGAATTGAATGAGTTATATCTTAATTATGTTTTGATATTGTTTGCTAGGCTGAACTCAATACAAATTGGTGGAATTGGAAAAAAAAAGGATGAAAAATGAGCAAAAACGAAAGAAATTCAAAGTATGGAGACCAAAATGTAAATATTCAGTAGTTGATTCGGACCATAAAATGATGATTAAATATCACATATGATAAATTGAATGCAATTTAGAGGTCAAAGGAGTGAAATAGGATTAAAGCATTTGTACAAACCAATTTCCAGCTAAAAAAGATTTGCTTTGAATTTTTAGCCTTAACTTGAGACCCATTTTTTGAATGGAAAACGTTTCAATTGAAAAAATTGTACTTCTAATTGAATTTTAGTTCACTGAGTTATCTTCCCAACGCAGTTTGAATTATTTTAATTGGACATTGAAAGAGAAAGTTGTAATCCAAATACTAAAAGCTGTTTAGGAACAACGACGCCTGCGCGAATCGCAGTTTCCTTTCGCAATTAAAATTTTTTTGGAACTCAAATTGGACGCGATTTTGAACTACTCTTTGACTCTTATAAATGGAAAACATGGGTAAAATATTAAAAGAAGAACCTTATCTTGTCATTTCATAGACAATAATTTTATCAAATTTATCAAGAACAAGGGGCCAATACTATATTTTGAGGGAGGAGATCAATTCCTAGCAAGGAATCCAAACTCAAATACATCAAGAAATTGAAGAATTCAACTTAGGACTTGAAGATCAACATCTTTTGAATTATTTCATAATCTATTTTTCTATTATTCTTCTTGTAATTTATATATTAATATTTTAGGCTAGATCCGCTTTTGTATTGGATGAAGATGAACTCTATTTGTTATTTATTTCTAATAAAACAACTATCAATTTAGTATTTGTTGCATTATTTAATAGATTGACCACCAATTAGATAATTAGTTACTTGTTGTAGTATTGAGAGACTCGCAATAAGTTCAAAAACCGGCAAAATTAACATATGTTCAATAGATTTTAGGAATAACATTTATCACTTATGCAATCGTATAGATAGTCTGAACTTTAATGTATTGTAATCATTCGAATTCGAGCTAGGAATAGATTCGTGTCGTAGTTAGGACAAAATTATTTTTGTTTTGGAAAAAAAATTTATATATCATAGCTTTATCAATTATTAAGAACGCATAAACGGAACTAGATTACAAATCAAGAATTCAAATAGATACCAATAGTCGGATTCGAAATCCTATATAATCATCTATAATTTGATAAAAACCAAACTTTTATATATTTCATCTTACGCTAAGCATCAATCAGATGAGACACCATTTAGTTGTTTAATAACTTTATGTTGGGTCCTAGACTTGCAGTAATTTATTATCCACCTATTAATTAATGTGTTATGTCATGGTTACGTAGCATAAGAGCACAATCCTTAGTTTCTATAGGTTTGTAGAAGGGCTTTGATGTTTGACTTGTTTAAATGAATTAAAGGTTTAGCAATTGAAATAGAACGTCTTCTCTGCATGATGAAACCCAAAACCACTAGCTCGTCCAAAGTTCTTAATATTGTGATCATAGTATAACACCTTGCACATTTGGATTTTCCTTCTCTAACCCCCATCGAAAGGTGTGAGAAGTTGAGGACTTAATTAAAAACCTTCCATTCTTAAGGGACTTATGATGTAATATTAGAATAGCATTACTCTGGGCTAGAATTATTAATATTGAGCCAACTATTTTTAGAATGAAAGGTGGAATTTAAATAGGCGTTAACCAATTACATAATTTTATTTGATTATTCATTCAGATGAATGTTATTTACTATATTTTCTCTTATCCAACCTAAACCCACCTCTAACTTTTGTATTACGTATGTTATATGGTTGAGAATGCAAATGACTATCTTTTGAATGAAAAATTAATAATACTATCCACCGTGTGTGTATATATAAAACTAATTAATTGAGTGATATAGAAGGTTATTAGTGTAACGTCTCGAACTCTCAGAACTTGAAGCGTTATAAAATAAAATCAATCTTTCTTTAGTTTGACCCCTTTTGATGTTAACAAAATAAAATTTGTAAATGAGAAAAATTTTGGAGTTTGAAATATATGAAAAATAATAAGAGACATTTGTCCATGTAAACTTAGATACTTATGGTAAAATTTGGTTTTTGGAAAACATTTGGGAAAAATTCAACAATTACCAATTTCGCAGC